TAATTTCAACATTTTAAATTTATTTTTATGGCAACCCATCACCTTATTTCCAAATTATAATATTCTTCAAAGCATTAAATGTACAAATTTACATTTCTCGAATGCATGCATGTTACTTTGTATTTCAATGAATTTTTTTATTATATAATTGGAGATTTTATTTTGAAAAATAAAAATTCCACTTACCAACAGGTAAGCGATGGCAACACAATAGATGGCCAATATGTGACAGTCTGAGGCCTTTCTACAGAAACCTTAACTTTACATATTAGATTTCGGCTTAAAATTAAATTCTAACCTTAAATATTTCAGGCGGGACGGGGTGATCATCAGTTCATACAATATTGCCCTATGACCAAAAATATCACTTTAAAATACTATGGCAATTTAAAAAAAAATTGTTTTTTTTTATTATACTTGATATTATACTCTGCCCGTAACATTTAAAAAATGAGACTTTAAAATGATTCTTAGTGAAAATTCTTGCAGATATTTAAAGAACTAGAAGAAATTGTTTACTTTAATTCATCTTATAGACTTATCTGAGGCTGAATTTAATGTGTGTTTGATTGTGTATTTGATACGTATTGCGTGTGAAATACGATAAATATGGTATGTCTATTTTTGACCTTGAATAATTTACCAGGCCCCAACATAAAAGTTTAGTGGTTTTAAAAAAAAGTTATATGGTATATTATAGTATGTTCGTCAATTTTTAAGGATCAGTTTACAAACATAGAAAGGTTGAATTGTAAAATGTTAAAACTTTCATGTATTATTAATATATTTAAGTTAACTGGTCCCGTGATTATTTTATTATTATACAAATTAACTTTACGCGAACTATTTCATTATGTATATTAAGTGAATAGAAAGAAAAAGGTAAGATCAGATGATATTTATCTTCTTTTCTTCATGCTCGAAGTAGTGATGTATAAATATAACATGGATTTCACTTGTTCACTAAGATTGGGGAAATCAGTGGGCCATTTAATAGGAGTGTGGGTGTATGAGTGATACAGTTAGATGATTAAGTGAATCGGTCGGTGAGTGGGTGGGTGGGTGAGTGAGTCATTGGTTGAATGTGAGTATGAATGAGTGAGAGTGAATGAGCGCGTGTGCGTGCGTGCGTGTGTGTATGTGTGTGTGTAGGTGAGTAAGTTAATCAGTCGGTGAGTGAGTCAGTGAGTTTGTGGGGGTGGGTGCGTGATTCAGTGGTTGTGTGGTTGAGTGTGAATGAGTATGAATGAGTGAGAGTGAATTTGCGTGTATGAGAGAAGTAGAATGAGTATGCGAGTGCCAGTGAATGGGAGCGAGTGCGTATAGATGAGTAAGTGATCGAGTGATTTGCAGAGTGAGTGTGAACGTCAAATAGAGCGTGAATGTTAGTGTAGGTGAGTGATATTAGTGAGTCGAGTAGTGAGTGTGAGTGTGAATGAGTGTGTGTGTGTGAGTTATGAGTGTGTGTGTGTGTGTGTGTGTGCGTGCGTGTGCATGTGTAAGCGCGCGCGCGTCCGTGTGTGTGTGTGTGTGTGTGTGTGTGTGTGTGTGTGTGTGTGTGTGTGTGTGTTATTTGAATGACTGAGAGTGAGTGGGAATTAGTGGGAAAAATGTGAATGCGAGCGAGTGTGTGAACGAGTGTGTAAGCGAGTGAGTGTGATCGAGTGTAAGCAAGTGAGTGTGAGTGTGATCGAGTATAAGCAAGTGAGTGTGAGTGTGAGCGAGTGGAGTGTGAGTATGAGCGGGAGTGTGTGTCGTACGTGTGTGGTCACCCCGCCCGCGGTCGCCGCACGCCGCGCCGGACACCTCGCGCCGGCCGCCGCGCGCCGCGCTGCCGCTGCCCACAAACAAGCGCGATTCGGTTTCCGTTCACCGCCTCTAGAGGGGGGCACTTGGCACAACACGATAGCAAATGGTCAACAAGACAGTCTTCGTGATCGTGATGTATTTACTCCCATTTAATAAAAACAATTCTATATACGTATGCCTAGTAACCTGATGTCATGTGTGTAGAAGAGAAAAAAACGCGAAACTGTCTTGAATAAATAATCAAATTGATTTTCAATCGAACTGACAGTTCACACACTATTTTTAAGCGCCAAAAGAATAAATGCAATCTCCTTACATCTCTTTAGATGAATCTATTTTTAATTAATTAAACCGAACTAATTTCGAAAACCACGATCATGAAACTCTCTCGCCGTATTTAAGATGAAATTCAAAATTAAATAATTGTCCATGTGTAAATCTGACAAAAGTTCATTTTAATGTGTATAGTAAAAAATTATGTCATAAGTCATAGTTTACTTTATTAATTTTTTAATTTCTTTATTTTGTCAAATTACACACCGAAAATACTCGTCTTTGATATAGACTCATATTAAAATATATCCACCAATATTGGAATTCCATTTTATATGATATCATAATCATTTACACGAAATCTACACATTGAATAAATATTTTCGAGAATTTTATCGCGTTTAATATTAATTTTTACATTATAAAATATGCAAAAAATTTACAAAAATTATTTTAGAGAAGCCCAATAGAAGACTATATCATAGACAATATTAATTACTCATAAATAAATTCAATTAATGTAATCATATAAATAAATTTAATATTTGTGTATAAAAGCACCGTGAACACATAATGCAGCAAATTCAAATAAAATTAGGCATTGCAATAATATCTTTAATTACTAATTAAAATTATTTACTTTTTAAACTGCTATTTAAAAACCTACATCCCTTTGTACTCTGAGAGATGCATATATGTAAATCTGACGAAAGTTCTTTTTGATGTATTATATATAGTAAAAATATATGTCATAATTGACTTTATTTCATTTTTTTATTTCTTTATTTTGATAAATTACACAAGAAACACTCATCTTTGATATAGACTCATTTAAAATATATTCAGTATTCACAAATATTGCAATTCCATGTCCGATATAAAATAATGATTTTTTTTAAATAACATTTACTTTACACAAATCTACACATTCAATAAAAATATGATTTTATAATTCGTTTAAATAGGCTGCGATAGGATTTTATTGCGTTTATTAACTTTTGCATTATAAAAAATACTTAGCAAAAACTAACAAAAATTATTTTATAAAGGACCAATAGAAGACTATATCATAGACAATATCAAAAACTCTCAAATAAATTCAATTAATGCAGTCATATTAATTATTTATGTATAAAAAGACCATAATGCGATAAATTCAAATAAAATTTCGCATTGCAATAACATATTTAAATAGTAATTGAAACTATTTGCTTTTCAAACTGCTATTTAAATACCTACATGCCTTTGTCTTTTGAGAGAAGCCTATACCAGTGTTGTTCCCATTTAACTCCACTTTTAATTTCGCAGACAATGAAATGATATCTCCTTGGTGTCGTAAAAAGCAACATAGATAAACTTAAACAGCACATGAGAAACAGCATCCTCCAGAGAACTCAATAAGTCAGCGGTTACCAACCGACGTGCCAATCATGGCAACTATAGCAAATATTTCTCCTATAAGACAATATATTAGGGGATGCATATTCAACAGTGCACTCGTGTGAATGAATGATTTCAGAAGTCTACAGAAATGAAAAGAACTGATAGATATGAAGCATCTAGCCTATAAAGTGTACCAGCGGAGTGAATAACGAAATTTATTCCATAGGACGTAAATAATAAAGCCATTCATTCGACTGAAGTCCTCGACCAATTCAAAACTTTGTAGTCAACTCATTTACATATTAACGTATATAACTAAACGTGTTATATTAAAGCTGTATTCTCTAACCCCTGTTTTTTTTTACATCCTTTATTAAATCCTGAGATTCTCCTCTTTAGTCCTCTTTTTCAAGTAGATGGAGCGATGAGTCGCATTCAGAAATCACACAGGGCCTTTTACAGTGTAAGTATAAAAAAAAATTAATAACTCAACCACCTATCGGGTCCGGTTTTTGTATTTTCCTTTTAAGGCACTAATATAAAATAATACATTGCAAATATGAGTCATTTTGGTCCATAAACATAGAACTTGTTAATAGCTTGACTACAGTGCCAAATTTTCCAATCCTGGCACAGCTATGAACCGTCATCTCGACAAAACAAATATATTGCGTTAATATGACCTCAGTCAGTCAAATCATAATACATTTTAGAAATTAATCATTTGGCAACTTCCAAAAGACTTAAAATGAAATAACTAAGTTGTTTAGGTTCTTGTAAGTACTATTTTGTTTTATAAAACAATGGGTGCGTTTGGCAGAAAAAAGCGCTAGCAAGCGCTTGTAAGCAAAATGGCGATCGTAAGCGGTAAGTGTCAAATCGTAAGTAGCTACTTTCCTCTAGGGACACAAGTTAGTTTTAACCGGGGAACCTAACCTAATTTAAATATATGTTTGTAAAGTATTCATATTAAAAACTTACCAATCATTAATTTCATTATAATGACATGTATATGTCTATTCATGTCATTAATTACTTAAAACTAATATTGGACAAAAAAAACTTTTAAAATGTATGCTTCAAAACATACAAATTAAATAAGCATGGGGATTGTGTCAGCGCTACTGAAGTAGTAACATCGTGTCCTGGACGAAAATAGCTATTTCAGCGCTTGTAAGCGCTTGCTAGCGCTTTTTTCTGCCAAACGCACCCATTGCGTTAATAGACCTCAGTCGCATTTTTTAGAAATTTCATTTGGCTTCCAAAGACTTAATGAACTGTTGTTTGGTTCTTGTAAGCACTACAATGTGTTTACTATATGTACTGTAAAAACGTATCGTAGGTAAAAACGCAACATATTATTTTTTTACTATAGAAACCAGTTATTACTTTTTATACTAAAACACCACAATTATGCACTTCCGTTCGAGGATGGGCCAAGAGACTGAAAACTTGTTCCTAACTTATAGCATACTTCTAGAAGGTTAATTGTATACAGCGTTATTGAGTGTGTCGTTCTGGTAGCCATCACTCACCTGCTCCTTCTTCTTTTCCTTCTCTTCTTTCTCCCTCTTGCGCACTTCCACGATGTACTCGTTGAAGAACTTCTCACGATCGCGTACCTTCTCGATGGCCTTGAAACGCTCGTCGCGGCCGTGTTTCGACGAAAACTCCGAGAATGACGACCTTAGTAAAAATTAAATTATTTTTAATCTCTTTTTTTTATGTAATATTTTCACATATTTCTCTGAGCAAGCCAGAATGAGGACCTTAGTTTTTAATCTCTTTTTTTTTCATTTAATCTTTTTTTATTTAATATCTTCATATATTTCTCTGAGCAAGCTATGATCTACGCTCAGAATATCTTTACGTGAGACTTCGTAATGAGGATATCCGCAATAGAACCAGAGAAACCAACATAGCCCAACGGATCAGTAAGCTAAAGGGGTAATGGGCCGGCTTTATCGACAGCCGATTGGGATGAAGGCTTCTTGCCCCAGAGCCATGCTGCAGGCGTATTATAGTTGCAGCACAAATGGGTTGGCTCGGCCAGGACAGTACCATGCTGTCACAGAATACCAGCGTAAAATAGCAGCTTAATGCTGTGCTGTGTTTCGTATGGTGAATGTAGCAAATCTTAGTCTTTAGGGGTGACAATGGCATTTGTATTTTGATTCTTAATTGAGTATAAATGTGGATGTCTATGGACCACAGCATCCACTTACCATCAGGTGGTCTGTCTGTCCGGACAGACAGACCACCACAGGACTGTGCTCGTTTGTCACCCAATTGTATAAAAAAAGACAGGCACACAGACACACAAATATACACCACTAGCACTTGTGTTATAACAAACACAGAGGAAAAACCCACAGGTTAAAAAAAAACCAGCGACGAGCAGCAGGGTAAAGTGCTCAGGTCTGGTTGTGCAATCATCAATCAACTTGCTAAACATTACGATTATTTACCTCCATACAAAGTGACAGACACATCTCCAGCAGTGTAATCTTATAAGCTAATTTAGATAGATAATTTGAACACCAACCAGCGTAAAATAGCAGCTTAATGCCGATGTATTTCGTGTGATGAGTGTAGAGTACCGGAAACCCCTTTTACAGGATACGAGGAATTTCAACATAGTCCTCAGGGGCGACAACGCATCTGCATTTTGATTCATAGGTAGATAGATGTAGATCTTTATGGGCCCATAGAATACTATAATACACAATAGAATGGCTGTCAACCTTATTTTGTACGACGATAGGCGTCGCCGGGAGCACACATACAAGCAATTACGTCGTATTATCGTCAGTTAATCACTACTACAAACCCCATTCGCTGTGTTGACAGATTTTAATATTTTTTTTATTTAACAGAGGGGAGACAGATGTTAATACATATTTATTTGTAAATAGCGCGCAATTTGGCATTTTCTAAATAATTTGCATGCGAAATTTGGAAACGATTGTAACGTCAAAACACATCTCGTGTTGACATTGATACGTGTGAATTGACCGTGTTAGTGGAATTTTAGTGGTTACACGGGCTCCGCCCACTCCCCCGGTCTATTATGTATGTATTACAGTATTCTATGTATGGGCCACAACATCCACTTACCATCAGGTGGACTATGTGCTCGTTTGTCATCATTGTCCTATAAAAAAGAAGACTATATACTAACTTGGAGTGTAGTTTAGCCTCCTCCATGAGCTGCCTGAACTCATTTTTCTTCTGCTGCAGCCTGTTCTTCTTCTCCTTACGTTCTTCCTCTGCTCTCTCACGGACGTATTTGTCGAACACCTGTCGAGAAAATATCGTGTAGAGATGTGTACGGGGCGATATCAATATAATTTAGAATGTGTAAAAGCCATGCTGTCGGTACATTATGGTAGTAACATGCACTAAGCACGACTGGGAAAGATATGTTGAGAATCAAAATGCCATAGACAGAGAAACCTATAGACTAATGATTAGCGTGGCCTCGAGTGAGAAAGGACGATAACGTAGTTTTAGGTTATACAATAATCTTTATGACTTTTAAACATATTTAGATAAAATTTTCAATTGTTCTAAGAACTGAACTGAACAAGATTCACCAATCTTAGCTCACAAAACACTTTTTTTCTCACTTAATCCAACTTGTAAACTTCTTAGATCACTACGAACTGTCAAAGTTGTTTAGCAAAGTGCAGTTTGCTAACCAAAAAATCGGCACGGAGAAAGGGACAAACAATCACACCGCTCTGTCTGATTTCTATGCAAGACGTATGCATAAATCTATCTTTTTCGTGTGCGAATGCGAAAGAAGGCGTCAATATGTCTATAGGTTTCTCTGTCTACGCAAAATGCAGATACATTCTCACCCCGACAACATATATGCATTTTGATTCTTTTTGGAGGATAGATCTAAATGTCTATGGGTCAAGGCATCCACTTGCCATCAAGTGACATTTGTGCTCATTTTTCAAGCTTAACCCTAAATCCTTGAATAAACAAAGTTAGGAGAGTAAGGTGGGCGCCGACCTGCTTCCGCTCCTTGGAGGTGAGCAGCAGGTAGCGGCTGTCGAAGACGATCTTGTGCAGCTCCTTCTCCCAGGGGCTGAAGGCGGACACCTCGCTCTCGTGCAGCATCTGCAGGAAGCTGCGCACGCGCTGTTCGAACGGCAGCAGCGCGCGCTCGCGTGCCGCGCGGATCTCCGCCTCCACGGCCGCCTCCTTGCCCGCATCGATCACCGACCCGGCGCCCACTGCTGCTCCGCCCTTCTTGCTCGCGTCTGTGGGGCATTGCACGAATGATAATTTTTTCAGTTTTGGCAGGGACTTAACCGTCGAATTATTGGGTGCGTTTGGCAGAAAAAAGCGCTAGCAAGCGCTTGTAAGCAAAATGGCGATCGTAAGCGGTAAGCGCTGTCAAAACTTTCCTCTAGGACACGAAGTTAGTTTTAAGCGGGGAACCTAACCTAATTTAAATATAATATGTTTGTAAAGTATTCATATTAAAAACTTACCAATCATGAATTTTTATTAACATGTATAATATGTTTATTCATGTCATTATATTACTTAAAACTAATATTGCACAAAACAACTTATAAACTCTACTTCAAAACAAAAAAATTAAACAAGCAAAATGGCGGATTGTGTCAGCGCTAATGAAGTTAGCAAACGTGTCCTGGCCGAAAACTGTTTAGTTTCGCCATTTTGCTTGCAAGCGCTTGCTAGCGCTTTTTTCTGCCAAACGCACCCATTATTGTTTAAGAGGATACCTTGAAAATGAATCGAAGTTTTGGGGGAGTGGCTTATTCCTTTGTCGGTGAAGCTAACGGACGACTGAGGGAGTGTCAAAATGAAAGTGATGCAATGACTTCATAGTACGCAAATTATGAGATAGCCATACCGAGCATGCGCTCGGAAATAAACTAAGTAAGCGCCAAACAACATTTTTTTTTTACAAAACTTCGTAATGGATTATAAAACTGGTTTATGAGAACTTAGATATGATTATTTACTATGCCTTAAAAATAATTCCATGAACTTATTTGTAAGAATATTGTGGTGTCATGGAAATGTAAATTATTAGAGCCTACTTTGCAATTTTTTTCCATCGAGAAAATTACAGGATATCGTGTTTTCCTTTTATGCAATCTAAGGTCATATAGTCAAAATCATATACAAAATGTTGGTTTGTAATCTATAAAATTTAAAAAAATATGTTAAATAGAAAAACCACCAAATTTTCGAGCTATCACCTTAAATAACTTCTAAACAGACTTCAAAAAAAGGAGTTTCTCAGTTTTTTTTTTTGTAGGACGAGGGCAAGCGAGCATACGGTTCACCAGATGTTAAGTGACTACCGCCGCCCATGAACCACCACCAGACCGCAACACCAGAGGAATTGCTTTGCAAAATTGCAAGCGATGTGCCACTGTCCCGCTCTGCTGAGCACGCCAAGCTTTTTAAGAGGCTTGTTTGGCCTTCCCTTCCAAGTGACCACGAAACTGCACACTATGCGGTATATCGACGCTGACGATGCTAGCCGAGGCGGCAAGGATAGTGTCTTGAAAATGAGGAGGTACGACAAAAGGGTTCTTTTTAGCGGTTAACGCGCAAACCTGTGCCTTCTGGGGATTGAACTGGACTAGATTTAGTCGCCCCCAGTCCGAGACTTTGATCAGCAAAGACTCTACTTCAGACAAATTTTTGTCCCGGTGCTCAGCGACGTTTTCCCGAGAAATATTAGCACGTCCGGTGTATAGAGCATCACCAGTACTGTCATCCGTATAGCTATGAATGTTACTGGCTTACAACATATAATTGATATGCAGAAGAAACAGTGTATAACAGATACAAGAAAAAGGAAAAACAGCATTAATAAGCTTGTAATCAGAGCATGCATCGTCTACTATGACTTTGATGCTCCGATCTGTAAAAAAGCTGTTGATCCAATTGAACAATTTCTCGGGAAGCCCATAAGATGGAAGCTTCGAAAGAAGCGCTTCATGCTTATCGAAGGCCCTCGCAATATCCAAAGCCTCCCCCTTGGCGGCATTGGCTCGGCCAGTATTTGTTACAATTCTAGTTTTAACCCTATATATGTATTAGACCTAGATTTATTTTATTCACTCACTGTCATCAGGCTTAGCCTTCTTGGCTGGTTCATGATCCGAGTCGTCGCTGTCGGAGTCTGCGGACCTCTTCAGCTCGCCGTTGCCTGTTGCGTTAGCTGTGTTGCCTGTAGCGGCCGGCGCGTTGTCTTTGCGCTAAAATAATACAAATTTTATATTTTTCTGTTTAATAACAGTGAAAGTGAAACCATTGGCCCATTTACTATTCCGTATGTGATCTGTTTAAGAATTTTATGCCAGGCGAAGAAGAAAAAAGATGTATGTATTTTTTAATTTATTTCAACAAGTGTAGTTTGCTAATCCGTAAATGGGCCGGCCATATAGCTCGAAGAAACGATAACCGATGGGGAAGAAAGGTTCTCGAGTGGCAGCCTCGTACCGGTAGGCGTAGTGTAGGGCGACCCCCCACTAGATGGAGTGACGACCTGGTAAGACATGCAGGAATAAAAAGGTTTGAGTGGCAGTAAGGAATATTAATAACCACAACTAATCAGAAGTCGATGGATGCAGGTGACTCAGGACCGTGCTTTGTGGCGTTACTTGGGGGAGGCCTATGTTCAGCAGTGGACTTGTGAAGGGTTGTAATGATGATGATGATGATGAAGAAGTGTAGTTTGTTTTTTGGCTTTGCTTACACTATGTCACAACTAATTATATATTATCATACCTAAACTACATTATAGGGAACCGTGTCAAAATTGTGTAACAGACTATTATAATGTTTTATGACAGTTACATTATTGTATCACTTTTTATATTTTGTAAAACTTTTGAGACTTGTCTAGTTACAATATTGTTCACGATTTTTTTATATAGAATAGGTGTGACCGAGCATGCATCCACTTGTTAGTATGTGGATGCTGTGGCTCATAGACCTCTTATATTTTACCTCGATTTTGAATTAAAATTCAGAATGCATTGTCACTGTAGAACTAAGGTGGAATGCCTCATTTCCAGCAAAAAGGAGTCCCATGATCTCTACACTCACCATATGAAACACAGCAGCATTAAGCTACTGTTTTACAATGGTGTTGTAAGAGCGTAGTTGTTTCCCAGTCTTAAATAGCTACATCATTAGCTCTATTACCATCTCGTTAGCATTTCCCGTACTCGTTTCTACCATGGCAATCATTTTGACATATACTATACAAGAAATATTGCGGGAACAGTCTAAGAGCAAGCTTGCTTCAAGAAAAGGCCCTTTATCCAGCAATAGACCTTTACAAAGATATCGTCATGATCAAAATTAATCATGTGTATTAATATATAATTGAGAGAGAGAAAGAGAGAGGGAGAGAGAGTATACCTGCAGCTCCAGCGGCGGCTGGCTGACGGCCTTGTCGACGTCGGCGCGGCCCACCAGCTGCGGCGGCCGCTCCCACACCGACGAGTTGGCCGTGGGGTTGTAGAAGAACACGCGCCCGTCGCCGGTCCACACCACGCACCTACACAACCACAAACACGTTATTTCATATATTTCTTACTAGCGATCCGCCCTCACTTCTCACGGGTGATTTCTGGATCTCGACAAGAGCGCCACCTACCGGATCCAATTGTGAATCTAAAACATCCAGGAACACAATCAAACTTAAACACGCAAAAAAATTCATCAAAATCAATCGAGCCATTTTCGGCTTTTAGTAACGGCTTTTACTAACGGACATCAATTGATCTTTATATTATTATAGAAAGAGGATAAAATACGTAAGTATGATTTAGATCATGTAATTCTTTTCAGAGATTAAATTTAACTGAATTAGAATTTGAAAAAGAAAACCTGACAAAAATAAAAACTAAATGGGGCATATTACATGGCGACGTGAGCGGCAGTTAGGTAACAAAACCCTCTCACATTCAAATATACCGTTGTCAACGTCAGTGTTGCTAGATTTAAGAAATTTGCTGAATTTTATGCAAATTGTAATAAATTAAAAAATATTTATTTAAATAGCATTTTATATATTTTATAGTTCATTACGCGAGTAACCCGGGTTCGATCCCCGCCGGCACCAATGAAATTGTTAATTGCAATAATTTTAAGTGCTGATTTACCATGTGCTCGGCGGCGAAGGAAAACATCGTGAGGAAACCTGCATGTCTGAGGAATAAGGAAAAAAATATTTCGGAGACATGTGAAGTTCGTCAACACATATTGAGGCAGCGCGGCGGACTCTTCCTTGCCCTAAAACCATTGATTTATATAACACTAGATCAGTAATAACCGCGCCAAAGCGTTGCCACTACACATATGGCCACAGCCATATACCTAGCTAACGTGAGTTCATTGTTCAATGTGACGCCGACAGAATTGAGCCGCGACAAAAATGGGTAAATGCGTAGTGAAAGAATGCTATTCAAGGTCACAAAAACGTAATAAATCAAGCGGAATCACTTTCAACACATAATATTTAATGATTTCTTATATTTACGCGAACACTATACATGATTAAAACTACTTTTACGGATTTTATCGCGTTTATTTTTACTTTTTTATTTACTTTTAATTTTAATTCCCGACGTTTCGGGCGCTTTCAGCACCCATTTCAGTCCCCCGTGACCATGGGTGCTGGAAAGCGCCCGAAACGTCGGGAATTAAAAATAAAAGTAAATAAAAAGTAAAATAAACGCGATAAAATCCGTAAAAAGTAGTTTTAATCACATAATATTTAGTTCCTGTTTTCATATAAACGTAAAAAACCTCAAATAATTAAATAAAATTAACGAATATTGCCATTTAGGTTAAATGTTGCCACTTTTCCGCATTTATGATTATCCTACATTAATGGGAGACTATGTAATTAATGGAGTAAGTTTATTTGTTACCTCTGATTTTAAATATTTTGGAAATTATAAGAAAAACTACGTTTTAACTCTCATACAAAATAATTGATTATTCTTATTTTAGTTTATTCATGAATTATCTATCAAATATATTTTATTACCTATTTTATATTGTTTGATTTATTAGTACCATAAAATACGTTTTATTTCATCATTATGTTTACTTCTATTCATCTGATAAGCTTTGTATCCTTTTTTCTAAGGGGACGTAATAAAGATTTTAAAATAAAATATACTTTTTTAATATAAAAACAATTAACTGCAGCTTAAAAAACTCATTTTTATTGCGTATTTTAGGTAAAATTTCATATAGTAAGCCACACCAACCCGCCATTGCATGTTTATGTGTCTATCTTTATCTAATCTTAGCGACGATATTGTTTTCGCAACTTGTGTAAGTGAGATAGATATATGTTTACTTAAAATTGTTATTAGTTTCAAAGCTACGTCGTCGCGTTTGGATAGTGGTTACACTTTTTTCGACGCGCTGTAATGTGGTTTGCTCCTCTAGTGTTGTATAACTCAATGCCTAAAACCCTCTCAGAAATGAGGGGAGGCCTGTGCCTGGCAGTGGGTCGTATATAGGCTGTAACTTTACTTTACTTTATAGTTCATTTGCACATAAATTACAGTTAATAATAAATTTACATAATTTTATTAATTTTAATAAACTAAAAAGATAAAAGTAAATAAAAAGTAAAAATAAACGCGATAAAATCCGTAAAAGTAGTTTTAATCATTAATCAACTAAAAAGATGTCCATTTCAAGAATTTTCACTAAAATTTGTGTTATTTGTATGGGTAAAAAATACCGATATTCGATATTGTAATAAATATCGATATTCGATATTTTTTCTGGAGTACCAAATTCGTATAAATTTAGAAAAGCAACAGTAAAAACATTCATGTAAATTTTTTTAATCAATCTAACGGCCATTAAAAAATGTCGAAAAATCGATATTTTAATCGCAACATCGAACTACTCGTACCTACGCAACTGCAAAAGGATTCAGTGCCTATTTTTAGTACTAAACGTCCTGTAAGAAAGTTTTGTCCCTCATCCTAATACATCATACGAAACATGACGATATATCGATATTTCTCAAGCGATATATGAAATATGAGTATAAAATACCGTTTAAAAATATCGATACGATATATAGCCATATACAGGTTGTTAGTGTAAACACCGTTATCCTTGAAACCAGTGGTTTGGTTTCACTTATAGAACGTAAGTTCAATGAAAAATAACAACATTTTTTTTAGTAGTCTCAATATTTCCTTAATTCCTCAATTTTTGCCTGTCCTAAGCCAGGTTGAAAGTATGAAGGAAAAGTTACATCACACCGGTGATGTAACTTAATCCAATTCCAATAGTTCCAATAAAAACACAATGGTACACATAACCGTATGTGTACCTATTGTGTTTTTATTGGAATGTTGTATAGGTAGCTAGAGCGGGCGGTGATCTTTACAGTGATTAAGTCACTCTGGCGCATAGTGTATACATGAATTTACGGACGGTGTCGGACAGAAACTTTTTAAATTTTATGAAAGAAAATAGCATCTTTTTTTTTAAATTTTAAAAAAAATTTTTAGCTACCTATACAACATTCCAATAAAAACACAATAGGTACACATAACCTGTGATGTAACTTTTCCTTCATATATTCATCCTGGCTTAGGACAGGCAAAAATTGAGGAATTAAGGAAATATTGAGATTTTACTAAAAAAATGTTGTTATATTTCATTTAATTTACGTTCTATAAGTGAAACCAAACCACTGGTTTCAAGAATAACGGTGTTTACACTAACATCCTGTATATTTTCTTCACTTGCCCATTCCTAGTTGTTTGTAACATAACCATATTACTAGCGCTGTTTTCGCTTTAGGTACCGTGTACTGCCAGCATAGTGCAACTTTGATGTGCCGCCATTTTTAATCTAATTCTTTATCCGCACGGGTAGTGCAGTCACTTAATTGTTTAATATAACTCTAATACTCAATTTACTTTTTCTTCATCGCACAACTTTCTTGTAGAGTCGACTACTACTATCGATTTTTTCCGGACTGATACCACTTTTTTAAAAGGTCGGCAATGCATCTGCAATTCCTCTGGTATTGCAGTTGTTCGTGGGTGGCGGTAGTCACCATCATATACATCTGAGCCGCATGCTCGTTTACCTCCTTATATAAAAAAAACTCACCAGGGCGTGCCCGATATCGGCGTGCTCGATATGGGCCTGCTGCGATCCTGCTTCGCCTTCTCACGCTCGGCCTTCTCCCGCTCGGCTTTCTCGCGTTCGGCCTTTTCTCGCTCGGCCTGCTCGCGCTCGGCTTGCTCACGTTCGCGCTCGCGCTCGCGCTCGGCCGCTCGGCGCGCGGCCTCGGCAGCCGCGGCCTGCGCCGCGGCGTGTGCCTCCGCATGCGCTTCCACATCGATCACTGTATAACAAATTAAATAAAATCTGTTAATTTTGTGGACATAGTTTAATTTACAGGTCTCGATATGTACATAATAAAATGTAAAGCTCTCTATGTCCCCATCAGTAGGCATTCATTAAAATTAACAACTTGATATGTATGTATTGAAAATTATTAAATTCTTTTAAAAATCTCGCTGGGTTTCTTGCTGGTTTTCTTAAATTATATTTATTTTCCTCTATTGCCTCTTGCTAGGATTTTCTTACGCCAATACTACGCAGCTATATATATGAATGTCTCGTTAGTCAGTAATCGTAAACACGACAGCAGATCATAAGGTCAAAGGTTCGAATCCCTAGTCGTGAAAAAAATCATCTATTGAGTTTTTCTTCTAAAAAATTTAGAAAAATTCAAAGATTCAGTAACTGCCCGAAGTCAGACAGTTGGCGGTGTTTCATCCCCATGCCTCGGAGAGCACATAAAACCGTTGTTTTGTGCCGCATCTTTCTCAGACCGTGTGAGATTACCGTTCCATCAGATTATAAGTTTGGTATCTCCCTGATCATCACATGTATTTGGCATCATTTAAGTCACATTTGCATTAAACTTACCTTCCACATTACTGTCATCTATATCATTTTTCTCTAACTTCTTTTCAGGCACTTCTCCCTTCTCCGCAGCAATCTTTGCTTGCAGCTCTGTTAAAGTAAAAATGTGGAATAAATGTATTATACATGAACATGAAAAATTGTCACAAGTATTTTAGTATTTACTATAAAAGGAGGGGAATCAAACATATCATTCTAACTGTATTAAATGTGCATGAAACAAAAAAATAATTGTGTTTTTGATAATTTTTGTAAGAATTTTATGGGTGTATGCTGTGTTATAAACACTATAATGTACACAGCTATCGTCGACACCAGAGCAAAGAAAACTACGTGGGTTCTGCCGTTGTAGGATTTTCCTTATTGATCAATCCGCCTATAAGCGTATGTGTGTGTATGTATGTATGTACGTTTGTGTGTGTATGTATGTGTGTGTGTGTGTGTGTGTGTGTGTGTGTGTGTGTGTGTGTGTGTGTGTGCGTGTGTGTGTGTGTGTGTGTGTGTATGTGTGTGTGTGTATGTGTGTGTGTGCGTGTGTGTATGTGTGTGTATGTATGTGTACGTGTGTGTATGTATGTGTACGTGTGTGTATGTATGTGTACGTGTGTGTATGTATGTGTACGTGTGTGTATGTATGTGAGTGTGTGTGTGTTTGTGTACGTGAGTGTTTTAGAGTGCGTGTGTGTTTGTGTGCTTGTGTGTTTGTGTGTTTTTGTGCATGTGTGTTTTTGTGCATGTGTGTTTTTGTGCGTGTGCATGTGTTTGTGTACGTTAGTGTGCATATGTGTGTTTGTATCTGTGTGTGTTTGTATCCGTGAGACGCTGACAGATGGTATTTGTGTGTGAATGTGTATGTTTGTGCACTCCTGTACATGTGTGGGTTTTTTTTTTCGGAGGAAGTGAGAGATACAAGTGTCGTGCCTTTTTTTGCTTAAAATTTATTGTTTTATTAAGTGTTGTTGATTTACCATAGTAAATTTTTCTGTCTTGGTGGAGGTTTTAATATCTGTAAATTAGTAAGTGTTTGTAGTTGTGCCGTTTTTATGTAATTTTTTGTTGTAGTAATATAAAGGAGGACGAACCTCCCGATCCCGGAAGGGTTCGCAATGATTCCTTTTCCTTACCCACTAACATTGATAATGTAGAATTAATTAACCGTAAACGTGCCCAAGTAAGTAACGAGTCTGCCCATCCACAAAAAATAGTTATTACTGATCCAAATCAACAGTTTCCTTCAATACAATCCTCATATACCCATCCTGATTTTATTAATAAAAAAGTTAAGTACTCTCAAGATGATGCCGCTCCTTTTCTAGTTCACGTAAGTAAAATCTCAAATGATCAGCTGTCTGGAGTAACTCTTAAACCAATTAAATTCGGCCACTTTCTGTATCATAACAATATTAAAAATATAGTCCACGATGGAGTCAAAAAAGTTGGACGAAATAGAATATCCGTGGAGTTTAAATCAGCTGCAGATGCAAACACCTTTATCGATCACCCAGCTCTCCAAATTTCTAAATATGAAGCAACCATCCCCTCATATAGTATCACTCGTATGGGGCTAGTTAGACAAGTTCCCATAGAGTGGACACTAGAAGAATTAATAGCAGCTATAGAAATTCCCTCTGGATACGGTTCTATAATTAAAGCACGGCGACTTAATAGACGATCAGTGAGTGACAGCAATAGCGTTTCATGGGTTCCAACTCAGACGGTTGTTCTAACTTTTTCTGGACAAAAACTTCCTCCCCATATTTACTGTTTTTACACCTCAATGCCAGTGGAAAAATATGTTTTGCCACTAATTCAGTGTCATAAATGCTGTAGATATGGCCATGTTACTTCCCAGTGCCGATCATCTCCTCGCTGCTTTGTATGTGCACAGAATCATGAAGGTTTATCTTGTACTCGACAAACTCCTACTTGCCTATTCTGCTCTGGTCCGCACACCGCAAAAGACCCTACATGTCCTGAACATCTAAGGCAAAAATCTATTAAACTTGTTATGTCACAAGAAAATATTTCATATTTAGAAGCTTCAGCTAGATTCCCTCAGACAAAAAGATCCTTTGCTGATACAACAAGAATCCAGCCTCGTAATTGTTCTCAACAGACCCCTTATACTATAACTGACAGTCTTTCAACCCCTTCGGCTCAGCTCTCACAAACTGCATCATATAAAAAAAACAATTTTTATCCCTCAACGTACCCGCAGCCCACCATTAAATTCTGGATATGATATGGCAGCCCATCAAGCAATTGTTGAGAATCCTAATTCTTCCCTTCCTAATGGGTGTGCTCTACTGGGAAATGACAACAACTCCTCTAGTAATGATAATTTCTGCGAACTTATGATATCAATTCTAATTAACATGATCTCCCGTTTTAGTGACACGGAACTTCCTCTCAGCTTACACCAAAAACTTACTCAGCTTTCCTCCTTAGCCCGTAACATTCGCAGTCCCGCCAATTCTTCAATGGAATTGTCGGAGTATTAGAAATAAAAAAAATGAACTCATTTACCTCATTAACAAATTTCATCCCTTCATTCTTGCCATCCAGGAGACATGGCTTAGGCCTGAATCTCATTTTAGGGTTTCAGGCTATGCATGCCTCCGGGATGATAGGAGTGATGGTCGTGCTGGCACCTCTATTTTAATTTCAAGAACTGTTACATTTTCACAAATTCCTCTCCCTTCTCATAGTCCAGCAGTAAATGCTGTTGCTATTAAGGCCCTTGATGTCTCTATTCTCTCTGTTTACATTCCTAATCCTGATGTAAATGTTTTAACAGAACTTGCAACACTTATCTCTTCTCTGTCACCTCCTATGGTTATTTTGGGAGATTTTAATATGCATCATACTGTTTGGGGCTCCCATCTGTGTGATTCACTGGCTCCCTTATTTTTAGATCTTATTGATAACTTTAATCTCTGTATTCTAAATGATGGGTCTCCTACCCGTCGAGTATCCCCATTACAAAATATTAGAAGTGCCGTTGACCTAACTCTCTGCTCTCCAGATATTGCTTCCCTTCTTTTGTGGCAAATATTACCTTCTAGCTATGGCAGTGACCATTTTCCTATATTCATCACTCCTCCTACTTCACCTAGAATAAATTTTACATTTTGCCCAAGACTAAAGTATAATCTATCCAAAGCTAATTGGCAATTATATTCTAAAGTCTTGGAACAAGAGGTTTCAACTCTTCCCCCAATTAACAATGATAATATTGCTACTGTATATATAGAGTTCAGAAATGCAATTATTTCTGCTGCTAATAAGTCAATCCCCTTAAAAAAACCTTTCAAAAATAATTATCCCTCCCCTCCTTGGTGGGACCAAGATTGTTCAGCAGCTTGTAGGAGAAGAAAAGAGGCTGAATTAATATACTCCCGTTCTATGACTGCAAAGAATTATATCTCTTATAAAAAAATTGCTGCAGAAACCTTAAAATTACTGTCAGACAAAAAAGCGAACTGGTTGGTTTAAATTCTGTGAATCACTGTCACCTAGGACTCCCCCATCTTTGGTCTGGAGAAATGTTAAAAAATATCGCTGTGCAGTTTCTAGTGAAAATATAATTTCTAATGATCCTTCCCCGTGGATAGATGAATTCTCTAATAAACTTGCACCACAAACAGTCCCATCTTATGATGAATGCCTAGTTTTTAATTCTGCTTTTTTAAAAACAAATGATAAATTTGATTCCCCCTTTTCTTCTCAGGAATTGTTTACTGTACTCAATGGCCTTAAAGACTCCTCACCAGGTATTGATGGGATTCCTTATTCGTTTATAATTAATACTAGTGAGAACACTAAAACTGTCTTACTATCCATTTTAAATTTTATTTATATTACTGGTGATCCTCCTGCTGAATGGAAAACTCAAATTATTTTGCCCATTCTCAAACCAGGTAAGTCTAGCAATGACCCTTCCAGTTACCGACCTATTGCCCTATCTTGTACTTTGGCAAAAATCTTGGAACATTTAATAAAAAATCGCTTGGAGTGGTTTTTGGAAAGGAATAATCTCTTACCTAAAAGCCAATTCGGTTTCCGAAAAGGTTTAAGTACCATGGATAGCCTAAGTACCTTGGTCACAGATATTCATATTGCCTTCTCAAAACATGAATTTCTCATAGGAGTTTTCTTGGATATTCCTTCTGCATATGATAATGTGCTTCTTCCTGTGCTCAGGCAGAAAATGCTTAATCTGAGCATTCCAGTGAGGATAGTCAATTACGTCTCTAACTTTCTCTCTTCTAGATCAATATCTATAAATGTTAAAAATCTCCCGCTTCCCCCAAAAACTATATGGAAAGGACTTCCACAAGGCTCAGTTCTTAGTCCTCTCCTTTATTCTATATATACTCACGATTTAGAACTTTCAGTAAATTCTTTTTGTAATGTTCTTCAATATGCAGACGATTTAGCTCTATACATCTCCTCAAACAACTTCACAGTGGCATGTTCCCGTCTAAACTCATCCATGGATTATTTACAAGAATGGTTAACTAATCATGGCCTCTCTTTATCTGTGGCCAAGAGTAGTGTGGTGATCTTTTCCCGCCAAAGGCGAGTTCCCGATATATCTGTTGTATATGATAAGCAACCTATTCCAGTTAGAGGCAATGTTAAATTTTTGGGAGTTATCCTTGATTCGAAATTGGCCTTCGGTCCATACATTGAATATATAACACAAAAATGCGAAAAAAACATAAATATTCTTCGGTCTTTGTCAGGTGTTTGGTGGGGGTCCCATCCTTTTTCTCAGAAATTACTGTACAATGCTTTAATACGAAGCCACCTTGACTATGGATGTTTTCTGTTGGAGCCTTGCAATAAATCATCCCTTAAAGTAATGGACAAAATTCAATCGAAATGCCTTCGCATTATTACAGGGGCAATGAAATCCTCACCAATAAATGTTCTTCAGGTTGAGTGCGTAGATCCTCCTTTAAGATTAAGAAGGCAATACCTTTCAGACAGATTCTTATTTAAGATCTGCCAACTTTCAGATCATCCCCTAATTCCTAAATTGCACCTTCTTTCAGAGTATATCTCATCTGACCGATACTGGACCCATAAGGACTCTCCCTGCTTGTTTAAAAGTTTTGTAATTTTTCTTCAGCTTCCTTACCCAATCTTTCAATGCAAAATAAATCCACTCTTTGATGTTCCTTACGAGGCTATTGTTTACCAACCCGACATTCATCTAGATCTAGGTATAGAAAAGGATTCTCCAATGGCAAATTTGAAATTAAAAGAAATTATAGAAAACACCTTTAAAGATTGGCTTGTCATGTACACAGACGCTTCAAAACATTCTGATGAAGACTATACTGGAGCTGCTGTTTGGATTCCTAAGTTCAAAATCATTCTCAACTTTAAATGCCCCTCACTATCCTCCACTTTTACTGGTGAAGCAACTGCAATCAGTGAAGCTTTGTTATATGTAGAGTCACATAATCTTAATAAAACAGTTATTTTCACAGATTCAAAAAGTTGTTTGTTAGCTATTTTGTCCAATCAATTCCATAACAAACATAAGTTTCCACTAATTCTTAAAATAAAAAATACCCTATTCAGATGCCATCTTAAAGGAATCCATGTTTCAGTGGCCTGGATTCCAGGCCACAGTGGTATCCATGGTAACGAAACAGCTGATGTACTCGCTAAAAATGCAATTGCTAATGGCATTCTACAAAATTTAATTTACTCACATGACCTAATTTTGCTAGCTAAAAGGAAACTGAATGAAAATTGGAATAAATTATGGGAAGTTTCCAAAAAAGTTAAAGGTAAGCACTATGCTGCCATCCAAGAGGTTATTCCTCCCAAGCCTTGGTTCTTTAAATTTAACAAAGCAAATAAACATGCAACTTCAATCATTTGTAGATTAAGAATTGGACACGCCTGTACACATGCACATCTGGCAAAAATCAGAGTAAGGGATAGCTCATTGTGTGAATGTGGCTTAGATGAAGGTTCCACAAACCATATTTTTTTTCAACTGTCCCAAATTATCCTCATCCCTTTTTGATTACCTTCCTCCTTATATTCCTCGACCTATAGATTTTAATTCTCTTTTAACATATACCAGTACTCCTTTTGTGTATATTTTATGTGATTTTATTAATACTAATAATATGAAACTTTAAATCCTTGTCACTTTTAACATACGGGTAAGAGTCTAACACCTGTGTTTGTCATATTTGTTCTAGGTAATTCAACAAATAGATTTGTCAAAATTCTCGGAGGAAAACTGAATCCTTGTATTATCACAGACTCTTATTTTAATTAAACTCATAAGCTTTCATTTTCTACTCAATACGTCATTGGCGAATTTTATCAAACCGCCACAAAAGAAAGAAGAAGAAGTACATATGTGAGTGCGCGTGTGCATGTACGTATATGCATGTGCGCGTGTGTGCTAGCACGCGTCCCTACATGCATTTTTGTATCCAAAGTCGGTTTGTGCACAAGGCAGGATCCTTATATATCTACATCTATCGCGCTCCTGCATACCTTACGAAGTTGTCACACCCACCTAGTGGAGTATGACTTAAGTATTTATTAATTACAGATTTCTACTTTTGACCTTTGTTTTTGAATTTGTTGTGGGTGACTCACCCTCAAGCTTCTTCATGGGTGCCGGCTTCTCCCACACTGATTCCTGCTTGCCCGCGTTATAGTAGTAAGGTCGACCATCGGGGGCTCTGTGGGTTGTCCACTCTGCTGCCTGGGCGGCCAGTTCTGGAGGGATCACCTGTAAGAATTTGGGTTTATCACAATTCAGACAAATACACCACTTCCTCCTAATCATCAATTCGTAAACAATTCCGAGATAAATATCGCAATACGTGGCAATAGTTTGCAGATATCTCACAGTATTAACCATAATAATAAACTAAATTTATACATATATAAAAATATATAATTTAATAAGAACTAAAGATAGCAACTCACTGTCTCTTCCTTCTTTGCTACAGGTTGCACTACAGGTTCAACTATGGTAGGTTCAGCTATCGTCACTGGTGTGGTCACCATTTGTGGCATTTGTGTTGCTGCACCTGAAAGTAAAATAAATTTTAAGTCATGTCTCAAGAACAAAGCGGACACTCAAAAGCTAACTACTCGCACAGATAAAGAATATAAAAGTTAATAAAGTTAAAGTTACAGCCTATATACGTCCCACGACTGGGGCACAGGCCTCCACTCATTTCTAAGATGATTTTAGGGTAAGTATTAGTCTGCTGCGCTGCCCTAATGCGTGTTGGCGAACTTCACATGTCTTCAAAATATTTTTTTCATATTTCTGAGACATGCAAGTTTCCTCACTATTTAGCTTCTCAGCCGAGCACGTAGTAAACCAGCATTTAAAATTGTAATTAAGAATTTCATTCGTGCCGGCGGGGATTGAATCCGGAATGCTCGCGTACTGTGAAATTTACAGCAAGCGAGTAGCCCTTAAGCTACCATGGCTCTGTAAGGAATAAAAGTAAAAAGTAAAGAAATAGGATTATGTTCAATTAGGATAATTTTATAGAATGACAGAGGGGACAAATGCAGGTGCACATAGTTCACCTAATGGTAAGTGGATGATGTGCCACATGGACATCTATATCCTCGATTAAGAATCAAAATGCAGATGCATTGTAACCAATGAGGACTAAGATGGAATGTCATGTTTTCATTAAAAAGGGTCTCCGGTTCTCTACACCAGTAATATTAAGCTGCTATTTCACACTGGTACTCTGTGAGAGTGTAATCCTACCCCTGTTATACTTCTACATGCAATAATCTGTTTTCTTGTCCAGATGTACCTATGATGAACATGCGCAAGTATAAAATATAATATGCATAACAAGGTTTTTTTTTCATAGAATAAGGGTAAAAACGAGCACACTTGACGGTAAGTGGATGCTGTCTCCCATAGACATCTACATATCCTCGATCAAGAATCAAAATGAAGATGGTTGTCACATCGTTTATCACATCTTTACACTCAACATACGAAACACAGCAGTATTATACTGTTATTTTACTCTGGTATTCTGTGAGAGCAAGGTCCCTCCCTGGTAGCATGGCTTTACAACGTCAAAACTGTGTTTACCCAAATCACAAAAATGAAACTGGAATTTGACCAAGTAACAACAATCGCGAGTATAAATTAAATACACACTTACCTTTGTCAGGTACAGCAGCAGAGGCGAGTGCGTTCGCGGCACTCGCCGGACTGTGCCCAGCGTTGGGCGGGCCGTTGTGTTGGGTCACACCAGGGGGCGCCCATCCCCAGTTGCCCCACGGACCGGGGAAACCACCACCACCACCTACAATTTTTCATAAAATTGACATCATTCAGATTTGTGGTGGCGCATCGAATTCACTGCCCTGTTTCGTCACATAAGTGTCGTCAGAGATGAGTATGGGAAATCTCAGAAAGATCTGATGACGGTACAACAATTTGTTTAAAAGTAAAGTTGCAGCCTATATTACGTCCCACTGCTGGGCACAGGCCTCCCCTCACCTGAGAGGCTTTTAGGGCAAGGAAGTGTCCGCCGCGCTGCCCCAATGCGTATTGACGAACTTCACATGTCTTCGAAATATTTTTCTTCTTATTCCTCAGACATGCAGGTTTCCTCACGATGTTTTCCTTCACCGCGGAGCACGTGGTAAATCAGCACTTAAAATTGCAATCGACAATTTCATTGGTGCCAGCGGGGATCGAACTCGGGTTACTCGCGTTCTGTTATATTTACAGCAAGCGTTAACCATCTGAGCTACCACGGCTTTACAATTTGTTTAAGCTAGATGTAAAATACCATGTGACCGCCTCGTTGAGCTTGTGGTTAGGTATGATATTAAGTAGCTAGATCAGCCCACTCCAACTCCAAGAACAGGCTACAGATTCGTTGTCATCTCTTAAAACTAAGATGGAATGGCCTCACAGTCACTACCTTCAGACACTCCCACGTTGGCGGATTGAGACGGCATGCAGTCTTTCTTTGCATCCTACCCATGGGGCGGGTTTGCTTCTCGCCGGTGATCCTAGCACTTTTGCTATTCTGTAACTGATGTGCTTCAGAGAATGGAAATATTTATTCCATCATCTGTGGTACCCATCGGAGGCAGATCTCAGTCTTGGTTTGATCACTCCTGTAAGACTACATTACGCAGTAAGGAGGAATATTATCAGGTCTGGGCTGACGCTTCGGCGGTTCGGTTAGTTAACACCAGCATCCTTAAAAAGAAGTATAACTTCGCCTCCATCTCCTTTAAAAGAGTTATAGTCAAGACAAAATATGAGCACATTGCCAGAATTGGCCAGAAATTAGTTCGCCTTCCTTCGAGAATCCGTGCATTCACAGCAGTGAAAGCATTGCTATTGTGGTGTGGATGCTACTCAGACGGACTTCTGGATAGAAAAGTAGTCCCTACCTTCTAGTGCTGTGATTAATGGAAATTTTTTTTTTATTCCTGTTACAATTATAGCTTATCAAAAGCTACTGCTAAACATAAATCTCCCGTTAGACTGTCTCATAGGTTGGATTCACCACAATCGCCACACATGGCAGATGGTTTAGCAACTGTTATCTTTACTTTAGTTATTATTAGTAAGATGTCGCGGCCCATCTTCTCTCATCAGGACAATATGGAGTAGTGGATATTCTTAAACTGCTACTACACGGTCAATTTTTATTCTCAATAATACCTTATTATACCTATATTATTGGAAATAAAAAAAATTGGACAGTTAAAATATTGAAAAATCAGTTTATTTTAAAATATTCATTGCTAACTACCACACAATTCATAGTCCTATGTAGATAATTTGTGGTTTCAGATTTTTCTTCATCTTACCCTTGAACTCGCATAAAGATCTACCTCAATCAAGAAATTCTCGGTACAACCCGGAGTCAGAATGTTAGCAGTGTTGTACTTCCAAGCCTCGGAAAGCACATACAACAGTTGGTTCTGCGCCTGATCTCTCTTCGGTTGCGTTGGATTGCCGTTCCATCCTAATATGAGAAAGATTCTCATAACTACACTATAATCCTGTCCTATGCAGATGGCCAGTCTCTGTTAAGACCGGCCTCTCTCTCTCTCTCCTCCGGTTTGGAATTTAATTAAAAATAAAATTCTGTCTGGATATTATTATTATTAGATACTAAGCATACCCCCCAGGTATCACGCCATTCATAACTTGTTTAAAAAAAAGAGCTCCTGAAATTATTCTTATATTTAATTGTATGGACAATTTCCCCCTTTTTTAAATTTAGTTAAGAAGTATACAAGCATACCATTAGGCTGTGTGGCAGGCGCAACGTCACCAGGAGGGGCATCATCACTATCCACCGGACTTGCTGACTCTTGTTTATCCTTGTTGCCTCCTGCATAATAAAATTAACATCATTTACATTGAAATTAAAAAAAAATACAACAGTATTATTATATAGGTGGTAGAGCGAAGCCGTAGTAATATTACGGTTGCAGAACAAATGGGTCACCTTGACCAGACAGATTACGCTCTCACAGAATACTACCTAAAATAGCAGCTTCATACTGCTGTTTGTTGCATGATGAGAGTAGATAACTGGAGATCCTTTTTACTGGAAACAAGGCATTCCACCTTACTCTGGGATCACAGCACCTCTGTATTTTATACTGAATCAAGGATAGGACATCCATATGGACTGTGTGCTCTTTTTTCACCCTTTTTCTATAAAAAATATCTATAACATGTATACATATATTATTATAATTTGCACGAAATAAGAAAAACATGAAGGAAAAGGCAAAATCCATAATTTATACTAGAGCCAGTGTCGCCAATCTCGTGCATTATTAGCAAGGAAAGAAATGTGTATTGTCAAATGTGCAACATTCCAATAATTTTCCCTATTAAGAAATAACAGAAAAATGCTTTATGTTACTCACCATCAGCTTGAGTATGAACCGTATGGTATTATAAAGAGACCATATTTCTTTTAACCTAGAAAATCAAGATTGGATTGCATATACAGCATCTAAATGTGTGATGTCACAATAATACTGTTATCAGTTTGAAAACATAATATAACCTCATATAAATAGGGAGCATTACATCTTTTAGCTAAAAACATTTGAAGATTGACAAACAAGATCTGTTACTCGACGTTAGATTTAGATTATATATGTGGATGTATTAAATAAATATAGAAAATTGCAGTTCATTAATTTTCCTGTAATTGAATTTTTATAACTCTTTCATTACAGGCTTACAAATCCACTTCTGAAAATAACGCTCCCAGTAAGATCGCCATGGTCTTGAGCCACCTAAATACATCAACCATCCTGAATGTTTTACCATTCAGCCTCCATCTAGTGGGGGGTCACCTTGCTCCGCTTACCAGGAGGTTGCCACAAGGTAACCTATCTTCTCCATGGGTTGTGGGTTCTTTAAGCGACGTCCTACCTACTTCGCATTCTTTACTGATTAGACATTTTTGATTACTCTGGTTCTGCTGCGGATATCTTCGATACGAATTCTGTTACGCAAAGTATGGGATATTTACCATACTTGCCACCTTGGACAGGTAGGAGGATTGCAAGTGCATTTTTTATTATTTAGAGTTGTTATGAGGAAGATAATGCTGCCCATCCTCATGTTTAATTTCCCTCTGGATTCGATGTGGTGATATAGATAGTTTTTTTTACATAGATATAATAAATTAAAAATTTATAACTATAACCGAAATTATATCTGTTATATTTATATCTTACCATCTTTTATCCATGGTGGAGGCTGGGTCATGAACGGCGGCACTGATCCCTGAGCTGGACCTGGTACCACTCCAGGAGGGAGCATACCACCGGGCATCATGCCATTCATAACCCCCATTGGAGGTCCACCACCCATTGGAGGGCCACCACCCATAGGAGGAGGCCCACCGCCCATAGGAGGAGGCCCACCTCCCATAGGAGGAGGCCCACCGCCCATAGGAGGAGGCCCCCCGCCCATAGGAGGAGGTCCTCCACCCATCGGAGGACCACCACCCATAGGAGGAGGTCCACCACCCATTGGTGGTCCCCCACCCATTGGAGGCCCACCACCCATTGGAGGTCCACCACCCATAGGCGGCCCACCACCCATGGGACCTCCCATCGGAGGCCCGCCCATCGGCGGACCACTCATCATAGACTGTGGCCCATTCATGCCTGGCATTTGCTGACCTGTGGAGACAATTGAGTAAGTTATACATGGTGAAATTGTACTACTATATATATATATATGTGTGTGTGTGTGTGTGTGTGTCGTGTTTACATATGCATACATGTATATACATATATTAATTTTCTACAAATATTTAAATTTATTATCGGCTTGCTTTAATCCTTTAAACATAGAATATTTAATGTATTCCACAAAATATTAATTCATAAAATGCGGAACATAACTGGCTATGAGAGAAAGAGAGAAAGAAAATGTGTGGGCGCACTGCTCTCTCTTGCTTATATCCCCCACTCAACTCTCGTTCGCCTCGGTCGATCACACTTTTCGTCACGCGTTCGTCAGCTTACTCCCCAAGTCAAGCGTACGTAAAAAAGTTTTACATCAATGTCCGTTCGTGCGAATAAAGCTATGATGTCACAGACAGACACAAATATTACACACTACAAACTTATAACATCCCCCTGTTTTCCTCGGGGGTTTAATGAATATAACTAAACAACCTGTATGTTCATTTGTAATTTCAATATTACAAATATAAAACCATAGGTGGTTTCGAGCAATATATAAGTTTAATTATTGGTAAAAGACACAAATTACTTGATGCAACCATAGCTTCCATCTCAGCTTGCGTAACGACCTTGCAGGTGGGACTCTCCTGCGGCCTAGTCCAGGTTGTCTCCCGCGTCCGTGAATGGTAGTAGTACGATTTGCCATCTTCTGTCTTTGTCTCCACCCATAACTCTGGAGCAGGCTGTGGGAAATTTTCCTCATTATTGTTACTAATACCAAATAAAGAAAAAAAGCTGATATTTTAGCCAAACAAGCAATTTCGGAAGGTACTGATATTAATATTTCCCCTTCATTTCAAAATTATATACCGTTATTAGAAAAATATTGTTATGACCTCTGGAAGGAATATTTTGAATTAAGAGCAAAAGAGAAGGGTATATGGTGCCGTACGATCCAGCCGTACCCAATGCGTTCAACCTGGATAGATAACCGAATACTGTGTAGACGCGACACTGTAATAGCATTAAGAGTCAGATCTGGGCACATTCCATGCAATAAATTTTCATACTTGATGCAAAAAACTACCTCACCAAACTGTTCAACTTGCAACGTTATCTATCGATCATGTTTATCACATTTTGATAGAATGTGCCCAGAACTCCAGAGAAAGAAAAAATTGTAATATACATTTGTCATTGATTGGCAGTATTAATAGTATTTTTTCAGACCCATTATCAGAAGATGCCAAAAAGCTTTGTGTTAGTAAATAAGAGATTAAGTAATTAATGAGTTTAGTTGTTTGTATTTATCCTATTTAAGAATTTTGTTGTACCAGAGCGTCATAATCGCTTCAGCGACAAAGCCCTTTTTCTAAGAATAAAAAAAAGACACTCAACTCATTGTGAGAACTCGCACTTACATACACATATGCATCTAGAATCATTTGCAACTAATACACGGTTTTAGTTTTAGGTGCATATGTATGAGTCCAGAAGTAAACTTTTACAGCCTGATAAAAAGAAAGAAGAAAGGGGTGTCATAAGAGTATATGTAAACACAGATGCACTCCATTTTCTCCCTCTCATAATCTTATGGGACAGCAATCCGACACAATCGGAGAGAGATTAGGTTCACAACAAACTTCTTTGCTTTTGAGCCACGGGGGTGAAACACCACCACTTCATGACTTTGGGCTGCTACTGAGAATGTCTTGACAGATGAAGCCACTAACCGATTTTGACCAGACCCGGGATTTAAACCCGGGTCCACATGATCAGCAGTCGCGCTTACTAAGGTAATCCTATGGAGGAGACTTTTGATGGGATTTAAAGTTAGAAAAATAAGTTTAAACAAACAATGTAACTCACCATATTTGGTGGCGGCATCCCAGGCGGACCAGCGAAAGGCGGCGGCTGTCCCATCATATTAGGAGGAGGGCCCATAGGTCCTCCCGGCGGCATCATACCTGGGGGCGGTCCAAACGGGGGCGGACCTCCCATCATACCTGGAGGTGGACCCATCGGACCCCAGTTTCCATCGAACCCAGGCCCGCCATTGGGACCGAACCGAGGAGGGCCTCCTCGTAGAGGACCCCGGAAGAAACCTCTGGGTCGCATGGGAGGGCCGCCTGGACCAAAGCCCCGCCCACGAAACCTCATTGGTGGTGGAGGCCCATTCATCCATCCTGGTGGAGGTAGGCCCCTACCACGACCCCTAATAAAACATAATAAATAGCTCTTAAATATTGGAGAATGCAGGAAGTATCTGAATTTACGTGTGTATATACATATAATTTGTGTAGTGATGTCTTAGGTGAATCGACTACCCTAGTCATTCCATGGGTGACCTAAGAGGCGACTGAAGGAGGAAGTAAACAGATGGGCAGCAGCATCTTCCTGATAACACCTGCAATTAATAAAAACGAAAAGCCAATTTTTGGTTGTAACATTTGGGTTGACCTGGAAAGGACCACACTCTCACAGAATACCAGCATTAAATAACAGCCTAATATTGTCGTGTTTTCATACAGTGAATGTAGAGATCCAGTGACCCTTTTTTTCTGGAATTGAGGCATTCCATCTTAGTCCTCAGGGATAACAATGCATCCTCATTTTGGTTCTTAATCTTGGTTAAATGTAGATGTCTATGGACCACAGCATCCACTTACCATCAGGTGACTGTGTGCTCTTTTATCGCCCTTATTCTATAAAAAGTACAGCAAATATGGCAATTCTCTACCTTTAGAGTCAACCTATGAGGGAGACCTATGTCTGAGGTTGACTCTTAGGAGACAAACTCTTAACATAGGTTAAGCAGTGGACTTTTAATTAATTCTTCTTCTTTATTTAAATTATAGCTTCTCTTGACAGTGTAGTCATGAAAGTGACAAGTTAATAATGGTTAAAATAAGAGTTCTCAATTTTACGAGTGGGTTCACAATCTACATCAAATAAAAGTTTTTTTTTTAATAAAGAAGACAAGCAAATGAAGGCATCAATGAAGTTTTAATTACAAAATTAAGTGCTGCACAGTGAGAGAAAACTATGAGGAAACCTACATACCTAAGAAATAAAAAATATTACACCAAGAAGTGAAACATATATAAGGCTGTAACTTTAGTATGATGTTTAAATGAGATAGAACCAGAAAAACCAACATAGCCCAACAGATCAAAGCTTGTGACAGTGGGCCAGCCACATATCTCAAAGAACTGATAACCAATGTGGCAGAATTGAGTGATAGCCTCGTACAAGTAAGCACAGTGTAAGACACTAGGCCGACAGATAACCTGGAACATCATCAGGTGAATCGGTGGATGCAGCTTTAGGAGGCTTATGTTCAGCAGCAAACTTGTGCGACTGTTTGTGTACGTAATGACGATTTCAGAAAATTAACTAAAAATAAAGACAAGGACGCGTGCATGTCAAACAAACACTAGTGTATTACTGTACCCTTGGTGAAGCCTCTATAAACAACAAACACACTGCTATCTTAGGCTAATAGTAAAATATAGCATTCGCAAAGCAGATACATATAACAATTTAAAATTATTAGTTTTATACTTTACAAAAATATTGAGCAAATTTTATCACAAAATATACTATATTAACTATACATGCATATTTTAATTGCTACTATCATGATTAATACATGACAAACTAACACCATGTATATATATATATATATATATATATATATATATATATATATATATATATATATATTGTTTATCAAAAATAGGTAAGCTTGACCAGGGAAGGACCACACACTCACAGAATACCAGCATAAAATAGCAACTTATTGCTGCTGTATTGTAAGCATAGAGGTTAGAGAGAAGGAGAATGATCACTGTAGAAAAGTGTCTCAGTAATATGGACAAAATAAGTAAGGTGCTGCAATCGCTAAGTTGTCTCAATAGAAGCGGGCTGCTGTGGGCTAGTTTAAAATAATTATAATATCATTCAAAGAAAAAAAAGAAAATAACGAAATTTTTACTATTTATTATTATTATTTTATAGTATTTCACCATTTTTAATGTTTCTTTTGTCAAAAATTAAAAAATTATGGAGCACAAGTTTTCTCACCAATGTCGCAAAGAAAATTTGTACAGTATTCAACTAACTTCATCTACTTGTACTCATAAACAGCTAACTTTGCAGATACTTCTTACTGAAGGCAGCGCAGCTATAAACTACAGATTTTCAGGGACAGGCGGGCTAATGCCGTAAATCCAAGCCAAAGTATTCGTATCAGTAAGATTCCAGAAACCAGTTAACAAGCCAATGTCAAATAAAATAAGAAACACAATAAATCACACTCTACAAGCCGAAACAAGAGAGTGAGTGAAGCCCGCTGTACTCTACCTGTATCTGTGTAAGTGAGATAGCTAATAATTTGTATGTTTTAAGATAGAAAGAGATAAATTGCTTTGTTAGAGAAAGACGAAAAACATTTTCTAAATATTAACTACAAGGAAAATAGTATGTATAGGTAATTAAAAAAGTGATCCATAAAAATTTATAAATATATTCTCTCTGTCTAAAAAATTTATTCTCTCTGTTTAAATTAAAAAAATGTTTTAAAACTCTTTACATCCTTTTTATACACACTTTTTATGCACATTGCAATAACTCTTCTTCTCTCTAACCTCCATCATTGTAATGGTGAGTGTAGAAACCCTTACTACCAGCAACAAGATATTCTATCTTGTTCCTAAGAACTGATAACGCATCTACATTTCGATTCTTAATCTAGGATTAGATATACCACCATCAGGTAGACTTTGCACTTGATTGTCACCCTTATTCTTTAAATAAAATACAGTTAAGTCACAAACATTTGATATTATCATAGTAATATAAAAAACCTGCTACAATAGAGACTCATGTCCAACAGCAAACTTTTAGACCAAAAAGAAAACAAAAAATATCTTTACATTTTGAATTGTAGGAAATAAACACAAAATTGTTTTCAATATGCAAAAAAACCGACATGTTTGTAATCAGTAGGTCGGAGTACGTAGAGCTGTTTTGCTACATGCGGACATAACATGGATATGCCAAATATTTCCCGGAATCCCGGGAATTCTCGGAATTAAAAAAACATTGTTTAAGTAGCTTTTATAGGGGTATTTTTGTTATTTGCTACATGCGGACATAACATAGATATGCCAAGTATTTCCGTTTGTCGCCCTAAAATAATAGTAAACAGTTAAAATTTTCCAATAAATAATCGAAATAACGGTGTGAAAAATTCACGAAAAATTGTTCCACAGTAAGTATGACATACATAATTTAAATGCATTTTGTTGGCCGATCAAAACAATCAGATAGAACACTATCAAACTCGTCTCCGAAAATATTGTTGCGCGGCTAAGTTGACATCTGGCACTAGCGCCATCTAGTGTCGGGTAACGGAGCGAGGGGAGAGCTTTCCAGAAAATGACATCACTAATCTTTCAACCGACAGCGCCATCTGTTGTCGAAACGAAGAACTAAGCTTCTGGAAGCTGACTCTCGAACTTTCAGCGGTTTGTCGATTGGTGCGCGTATTTACTTGAATGTTCTGGATGATTCGGTACTAATGTGTATTTATAGGCGCTGTAAGGTGCGGTCGGGGAAGTATTGAATATGGCGAGACGAGCGAAGCTTCGGAGCGGAATAAAGTGAATCAGTGTGATTAATTGTTAGTGTTTTAAGTTTCAATTTGTGTAAAGAAAATTATAGTGTTAATGTAGGTAATTTTATCGGCAATTTTTATTGTCACGAACCTCAAGCTCGTAACAATATTTAGGTAAGAGCAATTGTCAATGAAAATGGTTATTGTAGGAAAACGCGGTGCTTGAAGGGGTGTGCGAGGGGGGAGGTCTTAGTCCACCTTGCATTCTAATTGACTTAGTCAGCTTTTAACACAAGATTGTAGCGGGAGAGCACAATTTACGTAAATAAGTTCCCTGCTACTCAAGTCACTAACGAAAAATTCCACTTTAAACTTTTGTATATAAAAAATGGCTGTGGGCTGTGACAAACAGACGGACATGGCGAAACTATAAAGCTTCCTTTGGAACTTCGGAAGCCTGAAAAAATATGTATTTAGTAGAGGACAATTACTTTGGTTTTTCACTGAATGTCCTTTGTAGTAAGTAGATATTATAAAAATAAAACAACACTTACTCAAATGTGGTAGGTAAATCAAACAAACAGTTTCAAATGTACCCAGTCCGCAAAAAACAAATCAAAATCCGTAAATCCAAGCCAAAGTATTCGTGTCAGTAAGATTCCAGAAACCAGTTAACAAGCCAATGTCAAATAAAATAAGAAACACAATAAATCACACTCTACAAGCCGAAACAAGAGAGTGAGTGAAGCCCGCTGTACTGTACCTGTATCTGTGTAAGTGAGATAGCTAATAATTTGTACGTTTTAAGATAGAAAGAGACAAAAAATAAGCGACGAAAACAGCGCGTACGACGGGTTGGTAACATGGAGCATAAACATATAAAAATAAAACAGAGATAAATTGCTTTGTTAGAGAAAGACGGAAAACATTTTCTAAATATTAACTACAAGAAAAATAGTATGTATAGGTAATTAAAAAAGTGATCAATAAAAATTTCTTCTCTCTGTTTAAATAAAAAAAAATATTTTAAAACTCTTTACATCCTTTTTATTCTGTACTATGTAGGCATTTAATATTTCCTTGTGCAGTAAAGTGTATTTAGTATTGTTTCCAACAGTTTTACTTAATTAATTCATATTTCACGAAGCTACCTCTAACAACATTCCAGGATTCCTGTGTGTGTATATAAGTAAGCATATACTGTTTGGGTGCTCACCTACTACCAGCGCATATTAACTCACTTAAATCAATCAACAATTTCAAAATCTCGGGATTTCACAGGCATATCCATGTTAACATCAATGTTTGTGGTCATTCACCCCGAACAGCTCTACCTACTCCAACCACTGTAATCACTAATACTGTAAGTAGATAGGTCGTTAGATACTTATTTCATTAGGTTTATCATATTTATGCCTATTTCTTCACGCCAACCCAGTTGCTTCTTATTTTTATTACAATTATTTCCCATTTTAATTTTACGTCGTCCTGTTGCGTAATGTGTATTCTGATCGTGTCACAACCTCCCCCTTCAAAAGCCGAAGCGAGACTAACCAGGCGGCAGGGAGCAAGCTCTTATATATATACAAGCTTAT